ATAGGGAGCTCCACCGAAGGCCCCAGTGGGGGTGTTCGCATGCGGTTCCCCCACCCAGGGCAGCGTTTCGTGCCCCATAGGGAGCTCCACCGAAGGCCCCAGTGGGGGTGTTCGCATGCGGTTCCCCCACCCAGGGCAGCGTTTCGTAGCCCCATAGGGAGCTCCACCGAAGGCCCCAGTGGGGGTGTTCGCATGCGGTTCCCCCACCCAGGGCAGCGTTTCGTGGCCCCATAGGGAGCTCCACCGAAGGCCCCAGTGGGGGTGTTCGCATGCGGTTCCCCCACCCAGGGCAGCGTTTCGTAGCCCCATAGGGAGCTCCACCGAAGGCCCCAGTGGGGGTGTTCGCATGCGGTTCCCCCACCCAGGGCAGCGTTTCGTGGCCCCATAGGGAGCTCCACCGAAGGCCCCAGTGGGGGTGTTCGCATGCGGTTCCCCACCCAGGGCAGCGTTTCGTAGCCCCATAGGGAGCTCCACCGAAGGCCCCAGTGGGGGTGTTCGCATGCGGTTCCCCCCCCCAGGGCAGCGTTCGTTGCCCCATAGGGAGCTCCACCGAAGGCCCCAGTGGCTGCTCTCGCATGCGGTTCCCCCACCCAGGGCAGCGTAGGGAGCTCCACCGAAGGCCCCAGTGGCTGCTCTCGCATGCGGTTCCCCCACCCAGGGCAGCGCTTCGTGGCCCCATGGGGAGCTCCACCGAAAGCCCCCGTGGCGCAGTTCGCATGCGCTTCCCCCGCCCAGGGCAGCGTTTCGTGGCACCATAGGGAGCTCCACCGAAGGCCCCAGTGGCGCAGTTCGCATGCGGTTCCCCCACCCAGGGCAGCGTTTCGTAGCCCCATAGGGAGCTCCACCGAAGGCCCGCCCAGGTGGCGCAGTCCGCATGCGGTTCCCCCATCCAAGGCAGCGCTTCGTGGCCCCATATGGAGCCCCACCGAAAACGGCACCCACAACGCGTTACCAACAATTGCTTATGGTTGGGTCTTTCGCCAAGTTTTTTTTTTTTTTTTTTTTTTTTTTTTTTTTTTTTTTTGTTTTTTTTTTTTTTTTTTTTTTTTTTTTTTAAAAAAAGTCAACCTTTCATCCCGCGCGCTCTTGCGGATTCGTAGGAAACCCAACACTTTTTAAACATTTCTGTCAAACGGGCTTTTGCGAGCAACTTTTTCGAACTTCTGCGACAACGGTTGCGCACCTGCCAGGGCCATCATCCCTGTCAAATAATACCATGCGGGACACATTCGTTTTTTCTTCGCGCGCGCACGCCGTCGTCGTCGGCCGCGGGGCCCTGAATAGTAGCCACGGTCGTCCGCATGCCACGAAGTGAAGTGTCCGAACGTCATAGGGCGGGAAGCTGGGTGTGGGTGGTGGCGAAGAGTCGTTTGGAAATTTGGTAGAGCTTGAACCGGCCCCCCCACAAAGTGGGGGTATTGCCCGCCTCCTATGAAAACCCTGGCACTGGTGAGAACGGTGTGTCCCCACGTGCTAGTAATTGTTGTTGTTGTTGTGGTGTCGTAGTAGTAGTAGTAGTAGTAGTAGTAGTAGTAGTAGTAGTGTAGTAGTAGTAGTAGTAGTAGTAGTAGTAGTAGTAGTAGTAGTAGTAGTAGTAGTAGTAGTAGTAGTAGTAGTAGTAGTAGTAGTAGTAGTAGTAGTAGTAGTTAGTAGTAGTAGTGTAGTAGTAGTAGTAGTAGTAGTATAGTATAGTAGTAGTAGTAGTAGTAGTAGTAGTAGTAGTAGTAGTAGTAGTAGTAGTAGTAGTAGTAGTAGTAGTAGTAGTAGTAGTAGTAGTAGTAGTAGTAGTAGTAGTAGTAGTAGTAGTAGTAGTAGTAGTAGTAGTAGTAGTAGTAGTAGTAGTAGTAGTAGTAGTAGTAGTAGTAGTAGTAGTAGTAGTAGTAGTAGGTAGTAGTAGTAGTAGTAGTAGTAGTAGTAGTAGTAGTAGTAGTAGTAGTAGTAGTAGTAGTAGTAGTAGTAGTGGTAGTGGTAGTGGTGGTGGTGGTGGTGGTAGTAGTAGTAGTAGTAGTAGTAGTAGTAGTAGTAGTAGTTGTCGTAGCCCTCGTCGGCCCAGCACTGATCCTCGCGCACGCTCGACCTCAGCACCTTCACGTATTCCAAACTGCCCCCTCCTTTCTCTCTCCTTCCCCCGTGTTCCCTTTCCTCGCCCCTTGCTCCCCATCCTATCCTTCCGCTCCCTCCTCCCTCCTCCTTCCTCTCCCCCTTCCCCTCCTGACCCCGTGCCCTCTCCTGCCTCCTCCCCCCCTGCCTGTCCCGCTCCCCCCCCGTCGTTGCCACCCCTTGCCCCTTGCTCCTTACCGTCGCCCGCTGCCCCGTGGCTCCTTGCCCGTCACCTCGGTGCCCTCCGCCAGTTCGACCCCTCGGCGTTCACCCCTCACCTGCGGCCATTCGTCTGGTCAGTCCCTCCCAGGACCGCCTGCGATCCGATTCGGTGCGACTCGTTTCGACGGTTTCGGCCGCGATTTCGATTCGATTCGATTGGTTGCGTTTCCCTGGCTTGTCTGGGGCCAGCTGGAGCCGGACGCGGCTATCTTGTGTCGGTTCCATTCAATTCGGGATGATTCGCTGGCGATCCGATCCGTTCCCATTTCTCCTCGCATTCCTCCTGTGGCTGCGGATGCAATTGCCGCGCCTCCCCCCTCCGTAGCCATTTTGGCTCAAGGCGTTTTGGCCCAGGCTGGTCTGGCAACCCTGCGAGCGACACCGCGGGTCCTTCCCCGAGCCCTCTGGACGATGTCGCTGGCCTTCGTCGCCGCCCCCCCCGCCGCGGCGTCCGCCGCCGCGCCGAGCCTTCGGGCCGGCCGCCCCGCTGCGCCAGAGGCGAGCTCCTTCGCGGGCATCCCGACCGCGGTGGGGCTTGGAGCGGCAGCGATCGCCGTGGGCTCCTCCGTCGTCACGCGCCGCGCTGCCGCGGTGAAGAAGAAGGGCGTGAAGGTCGTCCAGCAGCTGGACGGCAAGGAGATCCCGTGGAACCTGTTCATGCCGAAGGCGCCGTACAAGGGTACCGTGATCAAGAACGACGTGCAGGCACACACCATCACCAAGCCCAACAGCAGCTCCCCTGGTGACGCCAATTGGGAGACGACGCACGTGACCTTCGACCACGGGGGCAAGGTGCCGTACGTGGAGGGACAGTCCATCGGTGTCATCGCCCCTGGCCCCGATAAGAAGGGCGAAACCCCAGCCAAGATCCGCCTCTACTCGATTGGCTCGTCGGCGGTCGGCGATTGCCAGGACTCCAAAACGGTCTCCCTCTGTGTCAAGCGCGTTGTCGAGGTGGAGGAGGAGAAGTGGCCTCTGAAGCACTACAACCGCGAGAAGGGCGAGGACAAGCCCGACAAGGCCGGCACGTGCTTCCCCGACGCCAAGGTCTACCGCGGCGTGTGCTCGAACCACATCTGCGACATGAGCGAGGGCGACGAGGTGCTGATCACGGGCCCGACTGGCGCCGAGATGCTCCTGCCGATTGAGCAGGACTACAACATCATCATGCTCGCGACGGGCACCGGCATCGCGCCCATGCGCTCCTACATGCGCCTCCTCTTCCACGACAAGGTCGGCGCCAACCCGGATGGCACCCGCAAGTTCGAGGGCTTGGCGTGGCTCTTCCTCGGCGTCCCGTACTCGAATTCGCTCCTCTACGTCGACGAGCACGACGAGTACACGAAGAAATACCCTGATCAGTTCCGCGCCGATTACGCCATCTCGCGGGAGCAGAAGAACGCCGCGGGCCAGAGGATGTACATCCAGACGAGGATGGCCGAGTACGCGGAGGAACTCTGGGAGCTGATGCAGTCTCCGAAGACCCACATCTACATGTGCGGCCTGAAGGGCATGGAGGCCGGCATGGAGGAGTGCTTCTCGCCTCTCGCGGAGAAGGCGGGCGTCGATTGGAAGGACTTCGCGAAGGAGATGAAGAAGGCCCATCGCTACCACGTGGAGGTGTACTGAGCCATCAGACACGCGAAGAAGGAACAGTGACAGCGCAAGCGCACACTCTCGAAGGTCCGCGCGGATCCCGTGGATCTGCGCTGATCCGCGCCGTCCCTGGCGCACTCCACGCGCCAGGCAGGATGGTCCGGCGCAGATGCAGGACACCCGCGCGAACCTTTGAGAGTTTCGGCGGCGAGCGAGGGGGGGAAGTGAGAAGGGGCGGGTCAGAAGGCTCGGAAGTCCCCCAGCCTTCTGAGAAGTTTCCGAAGCCTTCCCCGAAGACACAACCAATTTCTCGGAAGGCGCGATGGGTTCTGAGAAGTCCCGCCGCCTTCTGAGAAGGCCTTCTCCTTCTCACTTCCTCCCCTCTCTCGCCGCCAAGAGTTTGTGCTCGTGCCACTGTTTCTTCTTCTAGGGGCGAGTCGCCTGCGGCGGCGGGAGAGAGGGCCTGATCCAGGCTTGCCCCGCGGGACTCGATCGAGCCCGCTTGGCGGCACAGCGGATGGGGTACTCTCGCGCCGAGCCTGCCCTCCTCGCCCTTGCTCTCGGCTTCGGAGGGGTGGTGGTGCTGCTGCCAGGCTGGCTGTGCTTCTCCGCTGCTGCTGTTGCGGGCATCCGGCTCGCAGGTTTTTTTTTCTCGCACGCGCCGACTGCCTAGGCATTTGCATCTTCAGCGCCGCCTGCGCTCCCATGCTGTCCCCTTGCCCATGTGCAGCGTGAGCATATGCAGCTCCCGACGTTGCGGGGTGCAAAACAGACATTGCCGCTCCTCGTCCTTCCCCTGATCCTCCTCCTCCTCCTCCTCCTCCTCCTCCTCCTCCTCCTCCTCCTCTTTCTCTCCTCCTCCTCCTCCTCTTCCTCCTCCTCCTCCTCCTCCTCCTCCTCCTCCATCATCCTTTCGCAGTCCTTCTTCCCCCCATCCTCCACCCATCCTCATCTCTTTTGCCTCCCTCTGCCCTCGCTCTCCCCTCGCTTTCGCTCCGCTCCGATCTCGCGACCCGAACCGGCTCGGGCCCGCCTCCTCCCTCTCCACCTCCCTCTCCTTCGGATGCCTCCCCGCGGTGCAGGACCGGGAGGGCGGCGGCGGCGGCGTGATTGGGTGAGCGCCGCCGCCTCCTCTGCCAATGCCGTGCGGCCGACGCGGGCGCCGACGCGGGGCGCCCGATGCGGGCGCCGACGCGGGGCGCTGGTCTGCCCTCGCCTCCTCGTGAGGAGCCCAGTGGCGGCCTGCGACGCCGGGTGTGAGCGACTGGGAGCGGTGGGGGTTAGCGGCGCGCACGAGGGGGGGCGAGGGGACGGGCGGGGGGCTGCTGAGAAGGGGGCTGCTTCTCAGAAGGCGCCCGCCTTTCATCTACAGATGAGGCCTGCGCCTTCTGAGAAGCAGGGGTGCTTCTAAGGAGCCCTCCCCCCTCCCCCCCACCCCCCTCTGCGCGTGGCCGAGGGGGGCCGGGGTCGAGCGGGATAGTGAGGAGTCGGCGGCGACGATAGGGGCAAATAGCCCAGGGGCGGGCATTACACGTGTTCGCCCGGGAGCCTTTTCGAAGGCATAGATCATCGGCGCACCTGAAGACAGGTATTGCTCTCCCCTGAGCGATATTCTCCCTTATCGTCGCCTCTGAAGGAGGGCGGGGCATGATCCGTGATTCCCCTTTTTTTCCGCTGCGACAGACTCACCACGGCGGGTTTCGGGCCATTTCTCGGCGCAGGATGAAGCCAGTCCAGGGGGGCCAGGTCCAGGCCTCAGGGGGTACGACGTCGGATCTCTGTGCTGCCGACGCCTTCAGGCCTCGAAGCTGCACGTGCCGGACGCACTGTGGCACTCCACCGTGGCCGTCTTCTCTGGCCGAGGAGAGGCGTACGGCGGTGTGGGGGTGGGGTGGGGGAGCGAGAGGGGGGAGCGAGAGGGAGAAGGGCACAGTATGGAGTACAGTGGAGACCCATGCTTGCCTCCAAGGTGCTCTGGGTTTCTTGGGACTCGACGGTTTTGCTGTGGAAAGCGTGACGCTCCCACACCGAAAATCCGTGGACGTCCCGGGGTCTCAGGCTTTTGGGCTTCTCGTGGAAGGCTTCTCGTGGTCGGGCCTCCACTGGTGGGCAAAATGGGAGCGGGGCAGGCCCAGGAGAGGGGCGGGGACGCAGGAGCGGAGGGGGGGGGAGGGAGCGCGGGGCCATCACGGGATGGTCACGTGCTGCACAAGAGCCTCTCGGGAGCGCCGGAGCGCGGCCCGAGCAGAGGGGGCAGCTCAGACACCAGGCCCCTGGTGGCTCTGAGGAAGGTGCTGGCGCTGCATCGCGCAGTCAGGGCGCTCCTTCCCTCGCCAAGCCGCCGTCCTCCCTCCTACCTCCTCCTCCTCCTCCTCCTCCTCCTCCTCCTCCTCCTCCTCCTCCTCCTCCTCCTCCTCCTCCTCCTCCTCCTCCTCCTCCCCCTCCCCCCTGCCGCCTAAGCTTGTGGGAGAAGATTTGAGGTGAAGGAGGCCTTGGAGGGTGAAGGAGACGCAATCGATGGTGCGAGTGGGATAGGCTGAGCCCCTGGGCATTTCTGAGGATTCCACGGGCGTCGCCGAGGCGTTCGCCCTGGAGGGAGGGCCCCGCGGACTTCTGGGACCTAGAAGCGGGCAACCGGCCCCCGAGGGTGGGCGAGCGGGAGCGGTGGTGGTGGAATGGAGGCAGGATAGGGGATGGGGGATGGCAGTGCGAGGTTTGCGGCGAAGAATCACGGGGTCAACTGCGCGGACATTCGCGCCTACGTCTCCCGCGTAAGGCCGTGCGCAGCGCCCTCGTTTTCCACGTGGTGTGCCGCGCTGGCGCCAGCGTAAGCTGCGGGGCGTGTGGTCGCTATGCCATCTTGCGTAAGGCCCGTTTCGTGTCGTCGCTCAGGTGGAAGAGGTCAGGGGCCGAGGGGAGGGGCAGGGGGGAGGAGAAGGATGGGAGGGGGGCAGGGAGGCCAGGAAAGGGGAGGCGAGGGGGACGGCGTACTGGGAGAGGGGGAGGTGTGGATGGGGTGGGAGGGTTGGAAAGGGCGGGGAGGGAGGTGGGGGGAGGGGACGTCGGGGGATGACTCGCCTGCCTCGCCCCCGCCGTGGGCTGGCGGCCGGGGCCGGGGCGATACCCCACCCGCCGAGGGCGGCCGGTGCCAGGCCTTGTCGCCGAGCGCCCCTGCGCAGCGGTGCCTCGTGAGTGCTCCTGCAGGCTCCGTGGTCGGCTGGCCCCGGTCGTGTTGGGCGGCGGCCGTGCGCGTACGTTGGCGCGGTGGCCAGGCCGAGCCTCGAGCAGGGGCGAGGTTTTTAGGCCTTGTGTTAAGTCGGGCCTGTCCCATTGTATGGGGACGATTTTTTGAATATCTTTTGGCTATGTTTGAGCATTGTTGGACCATGTTTCATTTTTCGCCCAAAAACCGCCTGTAGGGGGACACGGCCGGCCTAAGCCTTGTGGTCTGCGCGAGCTCTTCTTGGAATATTTCTGGCTGAGGCTGTCTTGTTCCCAACCATTATGTGGTGTTGGGTCCGCGTTTTGAAGAGACAGCGCCCCGCGCTCTCCTCTCCTCCTCCTCCTCCTCCGCCTCCTCCTCCTCCTCCTCCTCCTCCTGCTCCTCCTCCTCCTCCTCCCATCACCATCATCAACATCATTGCCGTCATCACCACCCATTTTGGCACACCCTCCACCCCGCCACCCATTTTCGGCACGCTCCCCATGCGGTTCGTGGCCCCATAGGGAGCGCCACCGAAGACGATATCCACTATTGCGGTACTCACATCTGCGAATGGTTGAGTCCTTCGCCAGGCTAGTTTTTACACGTTGGCTTGATGTTCTAAGAACATCATTGTTATGTTGTTTAGCGTTTTCAGTGGTTCTCAGAGCATGTTGTGGTAGGCCTAGGCCTATAGGGATGCTGGGACTGATAGTCCCTGCTCAAAGCCCGGGGCCCTGGAGTGGTCTTGTCCATGGAGGTTTCTGGATGCCTCGTGAGGTCCAAACGAGGCCAGACCCAAACGCGCGCCCCCCCCCCTGAGTCCCATCGGCCATCCCCCTTTTCCTGCTCTTCCGTCCCCTCCTTGTCAATGACCCCTCATCTTCGCACCACTACACGTGCTGGTAGGGTGGTCTGGGCGTCTGCCCACGGCGCGGTTGTCTTTCCAGGGGGCGCTGCCTGGAATGTTTGTCCGTAGGCGCTTCCGAGGAGGGGACTGGGACGGGAAGGTGTCTTGCAGCTTCGCTGATGCACCCTGCGTCCCCTCCTCCCCCGCCCTTCTATACACGGTGGCCAGGCGACCACGGCGGGGGGGGGGTAGCGGGCGATCATGGTGCGCAGGCGCGGCTCCCGCAAGACACCGCGCCGAACCAGCGGCATAGTTGCAGGAAAAGGCGCTGCGTGACGCCCGTCCCCGAGCTGAACCTCTGGGTCGGTGTTGGAGGTCGCCGCGGCGATCGCGGCGGCCACAGGCTGGAGGGAGGTTTCTGTGAATCGGTGGCATGCCCCTTCCCAGCCCCTCGCTCTGCGATGTAGACGCGGCTGATAACATCAAGAGTGTAGCGGCAGAGAGTTGTCAATGTATGTCCAACGCAGCCAGGATGCTCGCCCTTCGCGCCCTCGTGCTCGATTCGATCGTCGATTGTCGACGCCCGACGTCCACGTTTTTGGCATCTTCTGGGCCTCCTGGGGGGGGGCCTCCGTCGCCTCGGATCCTGACCGATCTGTCCGGAGGTTCTGGCCAGGGGCCACCCCTCGGGACCCAGACCTTTTCTCCAGAGAGGAAGCACCACCCCGACCCCCCGTCACTGGCGTTGACGAAGCGGCCCTGGGCGTTTACCAAACCAAACAGCCCTGCCATGGTCGATTCCATCCTTGGGGTGCGTTTGCTAGGTGGCTCGGCTTGTCGGGGGGCTTGCTATGAGGGTGTTTTGTTCTGCTCTCTGATCTTGGCGCCTTCTCACGCATTCGGTGCCCTGGGGGCGCAGTGGGGCCGCAGTCGGGTGTCGCTGCAAGTGTCCCTGGCCCAAGGTGCCCCCAGGATTTCCAAGGAGGCCTCTGCGGCCTCCAGAGAACCCCTCTCGATGCCCAAAGGGCCCCAGGGGCTCCAACATGGAGCGAATAGCTGGGGGGGGACACCTTGGGCCAGATACGTACACCTTTAGCAGCCCCTGGGAGAGGACGACCCACGATGAAAGGCATGCTCCTCAGGCGGGATCGTCGAGAGGCCCAGGCGCCAGCGTCGTGGACAGCCAAGAAAACGAAGGTCTCTGTCGACGGAATTGGAGGTGTGGGTCTTCCCCCCGCCCCTCTCTGGTCGGTCGGTGCAGCGTCTCCGTTACCATCGGAGAACAAACGGGCGGCGTAAACATAAACTTTCGGACGCCCGCGCGGACCTCCAGAGGCTTATCCCCCAAGCAGTGCTGGGGGCTTGTACTTGGTCTAAAAGGACCTGGGCCTGGGTGTCGGTTCGGCCAGCTCGTTGTCGCCGTCGCCGCCCCCGTCGCAGCTTCGTTGTCGCCCGTCGCCTGGGCCTGGGTGTCGGTTTGGTCGGCTTTTTGTCACCGTCGCCGCCTCCGTCGCCAACTACGTCGCCGCCACCCCGTTGCACCCCCCCGTTCGCATCGCAAGCTTGGCATCGAATGGCATTGCATTGTATTGCTTTGCATTGCACTTCATGGTTTTGTATTGCCTGTATTGCTTTGCCTGGCTTGGCATGGCTTGGTATTGCTTTGCATGGCTTTGCATGGCTTGGTATTGCTTTGCATTTCTTTGGATTGCTTTGCCTTGCTTTGCAGAGTTGCTTTGTTTTGCGTTGCGTTGCAATGCTGCGCATGGCTTTGCATTGCTTTGCGTTGCTGTTCAATGCTTTGCACTGCTTCGCACTATTGAGAATATACTGCATGACATAGCTTACGCCACATATGTTCTCCTCTCTAAATAAGAACTAGGATGCACCACCTTCCCGAGGCCGGACTTATCACTGCCCCTTGGGGATGTGCAATTTCCACATGATGCTGCCCCATTATCCATCCTAAATATGAATTCAGACCATCCCAGGCAGGCCGGAGTTCGCCCTCCCCTCCCCCCCCTTACCCCCCCTCATACTCAGCATGAAAAAAGTACTATGCGCGCGCACTCTTTTTTCACACATCATCAGTTCTTAAGAACCCCTTGCAACAAATGGGACGAAGTGTACACGCGCGCGTCGTCGGGCGCGCATGCCGAAACCTTTCAAAACGTAAGGTTCCGTCAGAATTTCAAAATCGAGTGTCCCGAACAAAGATAAAAGCACATGGCTTCGCAACACAAGATTTCAAAATACATTGCGCCCACGCTCCTGCGACTTCTTAATGAAATCATGCGCGTGCTGTCGTAATGATCCCTTGCAACAAGTGGGACGAAATGCACGCGCGCGCGCGTCGTTGCGCGCGCATGCCGAGATCCTTCAAAAGCTTGAAATTTCGCAAGGGTTTCAAAACTGAATTGTCAGAAGATATGTAAAACACATGGTTTTGCAACATAAGTTTTCAAGACATGCTTGCGCGCGCTCTCTGGCAAGTTCTAAAGAAAACCAGTGAGTTTCAACATTGCCATCCAATTCTGCCAAACGGGCCTCGCGCGTCGCATGCCGAACTCATCCGAACGCCCTTGCGGGCGTGCTGGGGGGCACGATCCGTGTCAAATAATACCACGCGGACCACTCGCGCGCGTCGGCCGCGCGCACATGTCGAACTCCTTTCAATCACCGAGGCGAGGACATCGTCATCTTTATCGGCGGGCGTGATCAACATCGGCGCCGTCATTGGCCTTGCCGTCGTCATCGCCACCATCGTCAACATCATCGCTTCTCTCATCACCGTGTTTAGTCTTGACGGCGTCGCCATGATACCGCGCCCGCCCACGTCACCGACTCGCACTGTAGTGCCCGCTGGAAATGTCCAGAGGTTAGCGCCACCGCGGCCTCATCGGTCGCGCCGCACTAGCTGGTCGCTGCGCGCGCGACCATGCGCGGGTAAGCGCGGCCGCAGAGATGCATCAGCCAACGCCGAACACTCACCGCAATCGCCGTCGCTTAAACCAAGTTGCTGGCAGGTGGATGGGTGGGATGATTGCGCGAGCAGTGGAGTTGACAACTTCAAGTTCCTCAGGGTGAATTTCACCACGTAGATTGCACCACATGCGTTACACTACCACATTTAGTGCACTACGTAGATTGCACCACGTAGCCTTCACCACATATATTGCACCACATAGCTTGCGCCACATAGCTCGTGTACCATATTGCGCCACATAGCTTGCACCATGTGTATTGCACCACACAGGTTGCACCAATACTCGCTTTTCTGAGCGAGGATTCGCATCTACCCCCTCCCCCGGAATTAACGGTACACATATTCGCATGGCAATTACCATCTGA